TTTCTAACTTGGTGACCAACATCATTATTTACTCCATTTTCCAAGTGTGAACTTGGGTTTTTTCCTTGATTTTACTTCTTCTTATGCGCCACATTCAATTCTCTCTGTCCTCCTCTCCAATCCCCTACTTTAGGTAAGATCTTAAGCATTTCTCACCTGGATTACTGCACCTGCCTCCTCATGAAATCCTTCCAGTAGCTCCCAATCCTCGTAACATGGCTTAAGGGGCCTTAATGATACAGTCCACCTACCTCTTTTCTCTCTCTCTTAAGCCTCTTGTCTAGAGACTTTCCTATTTAAGGGCTTGTAGTTCATCAAAATCCCTCCTTTTTCATCTCCCCATGTGCCTTCACACATCCAGAATCTTCTGCCTAGACTATCTTTTTTTGCATCTCTTTCTTTGGCTAACTGTTACTCGTCCTAAAAATTCTCAGCACAGATACCTTCTAAAAAGCAATCCCTAATAATTCCCCATTTTCAGTTCAAGCCTGGGCTAGATGAGAATCTAATATACCTTGTAGCAACCCATGTCTGACCGTTATGGCATTTTATATTGTGAGCACTAATTTCTGTGTCTGTCCAGTTGTGTGTGTGTGTGTGTGTGTGTGTGTGTGTGTGTCTGCTGTTTTGTACTAGCTGTTTTCAGCCCAACCCTGAAGGCTTTACCAGAATCTGTGGGAGAGGAGGCATGTGGCATTTGGAAAGGTTTCCCAGGTGATTCCCATCCAATTTTTCCCTGTTGTGAGGGCCAGGTTTTAGTGGGGGAGAGACATCTCCAGCACCTAGCACAGAACTTTACACATCATTGGTGACCATTATATGTTTGATAATGATGATGACAAAGGCTGCTGGAGTGAGAGGTCTGTTTTTCCTTCAGTAGATTTCATGAGTAGACATTTCACATTTATGTGTAGGAGCTCAACATAATAGAGTAATACATTAAGAAATTAGATTGGTTTATATACGTCACACTGAGTCCTGGACAAGAGATTGCAGAAATTGCAAAGGATATGGGGCTACCAGTGAAACTGCCCAGAATGACTTTCAGACAGCAGCTAGAAACACAGACAGTCTTTATGAGGCTCTTGGGGAAGGACCTAAAATGTCATCTCCGTGCTAGATGGTGGCATAATTGCCCGGTGCTCTTCAGCCAGATATCTGAGAACTCTTCTGCCTGACACAGCCAGGTTTGGCTCTGGATATGGGGGTCCTGATTGGAGGATCATGCTATAAGTTTGGGAGAACTATTTCTAGGCTCAATTTAGTCTGGCATAGTATTGTTCAAAGGAGGGGACTCATTTTAGCCCGGGTCAGTTCCTGACTTACCTACTTCCAGACTGATTCTTGTGCGTGGCATCAACGACCAAATTCTATGCAAGAGTGAACATACCAGCACCTCCCACAGCATTCATTAAGTTGGAATTTTGGAAAAGGTGAAACTGTCTTTCAGGCTTAATTTATTTCTGTTGATTTGTTTCGTTTGATAACAGCATGCATTTAGAAGATGCTTGTCCTTCACTTTCCAATCTCCTTTTAGCCTTTGTCAATAACCTTGCAGGCTCCCCACAGGTGGTTCCATTTGTAATCCATTTGACACAGCGAGACTATCATAATTAATGAAGCTCCCTACAGCACTGCCAGTGACCTAGAATGTAGGACAGGAGGGGCGCTGAGGCAGTGGAAAGAACAGCGGGCTGAAAGCCAGGAGATCTGGCCCTTGTCTGCAGCCCGCGGTGGAACTCAGCAGCACAAGGGTGGCTGGCTCTTTTGTGCATCTCTTTGCCTCCAGTCTCAAACTGGATGGGTGCGAAAGAAAAGGCTCTGTCTAAAAATGCAGGCATAATCACTAACCATTAAAATTCCTGCCCTTGGCCACCTTCCCTTCTTACATAAGAAAGCTGATTTAAAGTAAACTGTTGTTGAGTCCACTGAAAGTTGATTTAAAGTAAACTGCTGTTGAATCCAGTTTTGACTGTAGTAGAAAGAGGAGAAGGTAGGATTAAATCTTTAAATGCTGAAATAAACATGGAACAGTTTTGGAGTTGAGGGCTGAGAAAGAGCCTGGAGAATAGGGGACTCAGTAGCATTTTTACAGGTCAGGGGTTGAGATGGGAAAATGGGGACCAGGAGTGGAATCTTTTATCTTTTTTCTGATTTAAAGACCCATGTAAATAGAATAAAAAGAGAAAAGAAATAAGCAGTCAGAAAACAGATGGCTTTCTATAATGGTTTTCATCCCATTAGAATCATGTTTTGACAATAAGGTCCTGCAGAAAAGAACTGGAATACTTTTCTCCACATTTTACCCTGCACCATTTCCTGCACATATTAACCTAGACCTGTATAATAAGTAAACCACCTGACAAGAGTTCCAGGAAGGAATTGGGGAAGCCTCTATGGTTTATCTCAGTCTACGTAGAAAGAAGAGTCTATGATTTCTTCATTAAAGGTGCCATATGCATCTGTCAAAATGTTCCCAGAGAGACTTGTCAGGTCCCCTCTGGATCCTCCAGTTCAGACACAGTCTCCTTCCCTGGTGGTCAGCTCAGTAGGCTGTGAGATCACGTTAAAAACATATAGAACAGAGATGTATTGTCACATGTGAAGAGTTCCCATTTCTCCCCTCAGGGAAGAAACTCAAATTTCCCATAATCCTTTACTTCAGTAATTTCTGATTATTAAAATCCTACTGCACCATTTCCTTCTGAATAAGTTCTTGCATCTCCTTTCTAGCATTTTCCTTTTTATTTCCCAGATAGATCCAAGGTTCAAATCCTGGGTATAATTTATTTTGATGGCTGTTCCCTTTTCAGTCATGTTTTCACTCACAATATCAACCTTCAATTATGATTATTATATTTTAAAATGTAATTACAATTCTAATTATTTTTTTCTGTGTGTATAAAGGTGATACAAAGTCCCATAAAATAGTTACATGATATTCCTTATAATTAGAAATTAGCTAACTAAAACAAAATTTCTGTCTTTCTATTAACAAATAGTCAAAAACTGCTGGATGAATGATCATTTAACGGGGAGGTAATGTTTAGGATGATGTGACTTAAAATATAATGTTTTTATCCTGTTAGAATCATGTTTGGACAATAAGATCCTACAGAAATTCAGACTGGGGGGACCTGGGCAGCCATCCTCCTGGAAAGCTGAATGTGAAGGAGGCCGAGAGGCCAGGGTACAACTGTTGAAGGAGGCTTGCCAAACCTATGAAGGCACTGAGGGCAGCTTCAGACTTGAGCTACAGATCTAAAGTCCCAGGGCCAATGCTGTGAATTGCAGGCTCAAGACCAGCCTCACATGTACACTACACACGCAGAGTGAGTGGTAGCAGGGATTCCTTTATCTGATGGTGATTTGGGGTTCTCTTGAGCAAAGTTGGGTTGACCAGCTTGTAGATAATAATAATAACAGTGACAACAATAATAATAACAAAGCATTTGTCAAGTGTTTGCTCTCTAAGTTTGGTAGTAGGCATATGACACATTGCTTCATTTAATCCCCACAAGAAACTTCTGAAGTAGGTGATACTATTATCCCCTTTGCAGGGAGGAGGAAATACATTTGCAGAAATTAAACAGTTTGTTCCTGGGTGCAAAGCTGCAAGGTGGCAGAGACAGCATTTGAACCCACGGCTAGCCTTAATTCAAAGCCCTTGGTTCTAAACACTGTGCTTATTTCTGGCAACAATCTTCCATGTAGTGGTCAGAGCAGTCGCTCATCACTACAGCATGTTTCCCACTTTCTTAAAATATTACACCTGTGGCTCAAGCCAGTTGGCCTTGGTGACCAGCCCCTTCAGGGGATGTTCTGAGTTATCTGATGTGCTGTAGCCCCTGCTTATTTTCTGACCTCCACCCCTGTGCAGCTCAGGCCACACTACTCCTCAGCCTCTTCATCTGGTGTTCTCACTTCCACCCCTCCACCTTCTGCTGAGCTGCTCCTGGAGCCAAGAGGAGCCTCCAGCTCCACTGCCAAATCCACCTCCTCCTCCTCCTCGCTTCAAGGCAAGTGGCATCCTGTCTTCCCTCCCATCAGGCTTTGCTCAGTGAAAACAAGAAGAGTTTCTTTCTTGCCTCCTAGAAGCCTTTCTTCACCTCTTGTACCCTTCACTAAGGTTGATACTTCACCTATGGCTGCTCCAGCCATGTATACTTAATGTAAGTGCTGATTATTGGTCCTGTCAATCTCTGGGGCTGCAAAGGTAGGTGCAGATTTAACAAACATCCACTGTTTGTGACAGATGTTATTCTACTATGTCCCATGCTCCAGATACTGAGTATACAATCATTTCAAAGGCATGCAGAGGACTCCCTCATTCTAGCCCTCTCATTTCTGTGTTAGGGCATGCACTCCCACAGGATAGTTCTGGAGACAGACTGCCTGAATTCACATCCCAGTTTTTCTACTTACAGCCTGTGTGACCTTGGCCAAGTTAGCTAACCTTTCTGTGCACCAGTTTCTAGTAAATTGGGAAACACTAATAGCATTTCCCTCGAAGTTGTTTAGAATTAAATAAGTTAATACATATATTGAGAAATACTAACATGTACTGAGAACTTACAGCATGCCACTATTCAAAATACATGCAAAGTATTTTGAATAGTGGCATGCTGTAAGTTCTCAATATATGTTAATTTTTTGGATTACTTTTTAAAGATAATTACACAAGTGGGTGGCAGAGATCTTCCTTTGAAAGTGTTCTTAAGTCTCTTGCTGTGCCTGCAATGGTGCTTTCCACAGTGAGTAACAGGGCCAGTGGAGGAAGAGTTTGTTTTAAGGTCAGAATGTATCTCGGGCCCCCTCAGAGCAAGCTGTGTTCACCAGAGTCTCTAGCCTTATTTTGATATCTATTTGAGGAAAGACAAATGAATGCTCAATGCCTTTTACTGTTTGTGTAAGACACATGCTTTAATTTCCAAGAAACAATTCCCAAGGTTATCCCATTAAAAACATCCTCTGCCTCAAAGAGAAATGACAAGACTCACCTTGATTTTTCAGTGGTAAAGGCATAGTTTCCCTGAGTTTGCTTAAAAGGTTTTTCATTTCTCGCATGTCTCTGTAAAATTGATAAAAAGACAGAATAATCAGCTGTAAATTTTCAAAACGAAATCTCAAACAATCTGTTCTATGAGACAACTGAAGGATGAGAGTCTGTGTCTAATTGTACTAGCTCTAGTTTCCACTAGGCAAATATTGAATTTATTTTGCTTTTACAAGAAAAAAAAATCTGAGATGGGTTGGCTCAGGAAAAAATGAGAGCTACTCTGCCAAACATTTCTACAGGGCATTCTCCTGTAGGAGCCCTCATCTCTGCCTCTAGTCTGACCTGGGTGAGATCAGAGAAGAGCCATTGGTCACGAGGACAGTGCTTTAGATTTACAAAGAGAGGCGAAGGATGTACAACTGGAGCAACAGGGCAAACTTGAGGAATGGGTGATGGGGCTATCCAGGCTTTATGGTCAGAGGACTATAGTGGCTGTGTATATTCACTTGCTGTTATTTGCTTGTTTTTCAAAATTTGTATAAATTTAAGGGGTACACTGTAGTTTTGTAACCTTGACATATTGCATTGTGGTGAAGTCTGTGTTTTTAGTGCATCCATCACCCCAATAATGTGCATTTTACCCACTGAGTATTTTCTCATCACCCACACCTTATCACCTTTCTGAGTCTCTGATGTCTATCATTCCTTACCCCATGTCCATGTGTACCCACCATTTAGCTTCCACTTATAAGTGAGAACATGTGCTATTTGGTTTTCTAAGTTGCTTCTATCTTCTGCTTGGTTTTATAAGTCTCTTATTACCATGATTAGAGTTCAGTGTAACTCAGGTATTAAGCATTCACCAGGGCCAACGCTTATTAAATTGACTTGGAATAATGAGAGTAACAAATTCTAAAACTTCCAGAGAGGTTGGCTTACAATGGCTGAAACAGAAAGAGGTGCAGTATGGGAAAGAGAGGGAAAACCACCCCACCTGGGGACAGCTGGGCCTTCCTCTAGCAGGGACCCGTCCCTCCACACTTCCTGACTTCAGCTCACAGCATGCAGTGCCACTGCACACATCCAGTATCTTCCCTCATCTCAGAGCATATGTGGTCATATAACTCCTGAACTATAAAGCAGGAAGCCATCTCATGAGGCTTCTAGTCTAAGATAGGGGAGAACTGACCTTTTGAAACCCTTGGCACAATGGTTCCTACCCATGGCCAGGTAGTTGTGCATTGAAGACAGTGCTCTTGAAACCACAGGACACAGTGGCAGATTTCATTTAAAACAGCCAGGAACATAATTTGGTACAAAAAGCAGATGGATCTTATAATTAACTGAGGATAGGTAAGCATTGGCAGGTACCACGGGTTTAGGAAAGTTTTGTGGGGAGGATCATCCTAAAGTTGAAAAAATTGTACCCATTTATTTTTCTTCTGGCATTTGAGGAAAGACAGTCACCATTTAATTTTCGGTATGAAACCCCTCAGTCCACTTCACAAAACACTACTGTTCTGTTGAGCACGGTTTAAGGACCACTTTCTTAGGGTAATTCTGGAGACCTCTTGGGGGCTCCTTTTGAAGAATTGACTGATATGTGAAGAGTAACTCAAGTCTCAGTAATAAGTGATTGGAAAAAAAAAAGGGAAAGCAGCCTTGAGGATCTGCAGAAATATACCTGTAAAAACATTCCGGCCGGGTGCGGTGGCTCACGCCTGTAATCCCAGCACTTTGGGAGCAGGAGGTGGGTGGATCATGAGGTCAGGAGATTGAGACCATCCTGGCCAACATGGTGAACTCCCATCTCTACTAAAAATACAAAAAAAATTAGCTGGGCATGGTGGTGCATGCCTGTAGTCCCAGCTACTCAGGAGGCTGAGGCAGGAAAATTGCTTGAACCCAGGAGGTGGAGATTGCAGTGAGCCAAGATCGTGCCACTCACTACTGCCTGGATGACAATGCGAGACTCCGTCTCGAAACACACACACACACACACACACACACACACACACACACACACACAAACAAACCATTCCAAATCCACTCCCATGGGTGTGAGGTGTGAGGATATGTCTATGGGCTGCATGCTGATCAGGTGAGAGAGGAGGGCAGGAGAAAGGAAGCAGGGCCCCACGTCCACAAATGCAAAGCACAGTCTGTTTTCATTTAAGACTTCAAGGGCACATGGAATGGGTGAGAAAGGGCTGGGAATGCAACATGGGGGATTGAGGCAAGGTCTCCTCCAATAAAGCACCAATTCTCCACCTTGGCTGTGCACAGGAGAATCACCTTAAGCCCAGGTCCCACCCCAACAGAGTCTGATTCAGTTGCCTTATAGTGGCACCGAGCAATCAGTATTTTAAACATTCCCTCATATGACTTAACTGCGTAGCCCAGTTTGAGACCCATGATCTCTCAAGGCAGAGAGCCAAGGAGAACTGAGTTAGCCACATCCCAGACCAGGTCCACGGTGCCTACTTCCATCTCCTTTGACCAGAATCTGGGCTTTCAGGCTGAACTGAACCACTGCCAACACTGTGGGCCATAACTATCCTACTCTTAACCACCGTCCCTTCTTATAAGCTTATAAGGCCTAGATACAGCTGCTGTCCAAAGTCTGCAAAGGAAAATGGCTTCACTGATGGTTTATGCCCTGATATGGCATTTCAGTAGATATTTTTTTTTTCCCCTGGGAACAGAGCTAAGAATTTTCTATTTTATAAATTAAGATAAATCACTCCCTCATCATTTGTCTATAGTGCAATCAAACTGTGCCAAACAGCTTTATTGTTTGAATTGTTGCATCCCAAGCTTATACAAAATCCAAGTTTTATTAATAGCACGTAATTACCACATGCTCCAATTTTCTATAAACATAGAAATTTGGTAATTAGCTTTAGAATTATATTACAATCTGAAAGTAGAACCACAATGGCTATAAATGCCATTGTGTGTTATATTTCTAAAAATAAAAAAAATAAAATGTTCATTATCTTGTCGGTGACTCAACCTCATACACACAGAACACTCAGTGGAACTGCCCAGTATTCATTTAGCTGCTTGGTGCCAGCTCTGGGGACATTAGTAGCAAAGGGCACAGATATCAGTGTAAAGGCAAATAAACAGCCTTATCTTACTGCCTCACAGAATGTCATTTTTAGCATCTAGATGGGACAAGGTATTTATTGTAATATTATTATTACTTTCTTTTCCGAAATAAAACAAAATTACTGTAGAGTCTCTTCTTTTCAGGAAAGAAACTGCCTCTCTAGAAGTGAGCTACTGAAGTTAAGACAATGCATTAACTTGCTTTGACCACTGAGGGGCCACCAGCCACCTTATGTAGAGTAAGAGAAGGGGGACCTGTGAAAAGCCCTTTGTGAAATGGACAGAATGTTTAGCCCTGGAATGGCAGCTAAGCAGGCTGTTCCACCTGAAATCTGAGACTCTACTGGAGGCATCTTTGTGTAATTTTGGATTTTCTCCCTTAAACAAATGGGAATTTTGGGCACCAGCCCAGTAGGTGAACTGTGACAGCATGTAGACTTTCTCCCCTCCAAGGCAGCACGCTGTTCTCATTTTCCGCGGAGATACAATGTGTTGGAGTGGGAGAAGCAGAGGCCTGGGAGCCTGCGCCTACTGTGGGCGCTGCTAGTGTTCCTCCGCAGGATTTGGACTGCTTACCCTCTCTTGTCTCAGTTTTCTTGCCTGCAGATTAGGCAGTCTTCAGGGTCCCTGCCAGCACTCTGCTCCTCTGGCACACCAAAGAAAGCACTGTTTCTGAGTCTGAACTAGAAAACCTTGTCTCTCTGTGGCTCCTAAGAGCATTAGCGGGAGGAGGATTGGCAGTCTATTCAGGGTAACTTCCCACTTACCTTTCAGTGTTCTCAATGTCTGTGGAAACCTGCCAGGAATGTTGCTGACTATCTACGGGGGATGATGAGGAGTCTTCTAGGGCAGGTGTTTCAGCACTCTCCTCAATTTTGCAATCCAAACTCTTGGTTCCCCCACCAGGTTCCTTTCCTAAGAGAGGGAGAGTGTTGGTAAAGAGAAGAGGAATAAGAAATCATAAATGCAGGTTCTATACACAGGATGTCAGTGCAAAGGTTGGCTATGCTTTGAGTCAAATGCTCCATTAGCCCTAACAGCTTTCTGAGTAATAAAATAATTATATATACATGTATGAGTGTGTGTTTGTGTGTGTGTGTATGGCATGCCTTCACAACATTCTGGAAAGACAGCTTGAGGTCGGTGTAACCTAAAGATCAAGATAAAATTCAGGCCTCTGTCTTCGATAGAGTATTAGTGTTTTATATCCCATTCTTAGTGAATTAGATTAAGTTAGCTCAGGAGGAGGAAATTAGCTTGTGAAATCTACTGGCTTTTAGTGCTTAGATGCAGGGGCAGGTAAAAGGGCCAGGAGCAGGTGACACCCAGCAGAAAGAATGAGAGTCCCTGCTGTTTTCTCTGATTCTAAACACTGGCCTCTCAGCTTGCAGCAGGGATCATGCAGCTGCCTTCCAATTCCTTGGCTCTCCAATCTCCTTCAGCACATCTTCTAAGAGAGCCTGACCTTGATTCAGACTTGCACTGCTGAGACCATAAAGCACCATCAACTCAAGTGTGAACACCATGTACTAGGTAGCTGTCCACAGCAACGCACTGCGTATTTACCATGATTGACTTCAAGTGAATAAATCAGTACTTTCTAGAAACAAATCTTCAAACTGGTTCAGCCATAAATTTATATGAAATTACGTAGAAAGTTGTGGTCTATGGCCTAGGCATAATCTCTGAATGTCTTTTATTCTTTCTTGAAAGTCTGTGCATTCACAGGGGGTATCCTAGTACCGTGGAAATGGTCAATGAGGCCCGAGAACTGAATTTTAAACCTGGCTTAGTCATTTGTTCATACACTCACTATTCATTCATTTATTTACAAATATATCTTGAGTGTCAGCTACCAGCACTGGGACTGATGCTAGAGATAAAGAGGTGAAAGAAAGTGTCTCAGGAGCTTACAGTGCTGGAGTTAAAAAACAAAAACATTATACAAATAATTACAAAGCTGTTGTATAACACTATGTAGTCTGGAAAAAGGATAACTATTATATATAGTTTTTTCTTCCTTCATCCAGTTTTATTTTTACCATGTAGATATAACTCCAGACTAGTTGTTAAGCAACTCTTACAGCCTGTATCATTGAATATTCTTGAGGTAGTGGCTATATCACCTTACCTCTTAGCTCAGTTTTCCTAATCCTGGTGTGATTGTTTTGCATTAACAAGAAAACTAACAAAAAAATAAAACATACAAACTTGTGAAGAGCATGGCTGCTCATGGTAAAATCTAACAGGAAGTTTTTTCCTTGGATTCCTGCTGGAGGGAAGTAGCAAAAATCTCATCCTGCAGTTTCTAACCCATGTGGTAATAGCACAAGGAGAAAGAGCGAAGCAATTAATTGGTTGTATGCCTTTCACCAACCTATAGTTGAAATCAACCTCTGAACATTCAGCTAGAGCACATGTACAAGTTTACTGATGAGAAATTTTGATCTTTTCTTGTGTGCTTTATGCACATTGATCCTGGATGATGGGACTTGCCTGAGGAATTGTTTTTCCAATTTTATGGTATGCTTTTGCGGGGATGTTAATTAAGCACATAATTTAGCACCTAACCATTTCACAGTTGGAGGGCATTGACCTCTTAAAAACATTTGCATTTTACATCCTGGCAGAGTAGGGCAACTGCAGTTGAGTCTACCAGCCACGTATCTCTAGGCAGGGTCAGCTTTAGGATGTGAGTCTGAGCAGGGGTAGCTAAGGGGAGGGGACAGAAAGAGGGCTCCCCAAAGAAGTCCTCTGCTTTTCAAAACCTGAAGGCTTCTGTTACACTCCGGTGGGTTGGAAATGCCTTAGGGAATGGAGTATGGTTTGGGCATCAAAGAGGAGGAGGGGAAGAAGATTCACCAGGATTCTCTGGTTCATGGGCTTTGGGGACATATTATTCCCTGTCCTGTGGTCCAAACTATAGAGCCTGAAGCTTTTATCCCAATGGGGACAAGGGAGGACAGTGGGAAATGTGATATTCCTACTTGGAGTCCTCTCTCCACCTCCCTCATATTAAACCTTTTACATGCAAAGCAATAAACGGAATCTAGTTGACAATACTTTTGATTATACTTAACACCTGTGATTATTCTGCTACTTATAAGACAAATGCCTTTCCGTAACTTTTTCAAAGTAAAGCATCATTTTAAGGATTTCAAAGATCCTGAAACAGCCCTATAGGCTTGTAAAGGGAGGTAATAACCTACTTTTCCTATTTTCAGTGACTTTTAGATCTAACTCTGCTAAAGTAGCTGAACCAGAATGAAAACCATGTATGTTGGCCCTCAGTTTAGGGGTTTCTGTGAGCTCACAAAATCTCTGCAGAAGTTTGATATAGTATCTTCTTAGCTAGCATGCCTTAAAAGATAGAAAAGATCAATATGGATTTAAAAGGTTTTCAATTCCAGAATGTATGTGGTGTCATGTTAAGTCTGCAAGAGAAGTATAATTGTTCTCATTTACCAATAGTACCGGACTTTATGCTAGGATCCCTTTTCACCACATTACCTGTTCATTGCCTTCATTGAAAGGTCCTCTATCAGAAATGATCTTGCTTATGTATTTGGTTACTAGTTTATTGTTTGCCATCCCCAGCCCCACATTCATCTCTCATCTCCAAACTTTGTAGATAAACTCTGTAAAGTCAATAATTGTATCTGTCTTCTTCAATTCTGTAAGTCTACTACCAAAGACCAAGGCTTACACACAGTAGGATCTCAGTAGATATACAGCATTAAAAAATGTAATTATACTATATATGTTATAGAATCTGCTTTGCTACTGTAGTCTGGCTTAGAGATATTTTCATGTTAGTACATTTTAATTTATGGAATGCTTTCTAATGGATGGGCAGTATTCCATAATAAGGAATTTAGGTTGTAATTTTTCTCTTTTTCCACAATATGCCAATATTTATATAAAACAGATCCTTTGAGGCAGAATACTGAGACAAAGTATACGTATGTACATTTTATATTTTAATATATATTGCCAAATTGGCCTCTGAAAAGGCTATGCTAATTTATACTTTACGTCCACCAGTGATAAACCAGAGGGCCCATTTTCCCACCTCTTTCCCAGCACTTCATATTATCAACATTTAATTTTTGCTGACCCAATGCGAGGGAAATAGAATCTCATTGCACTTTTATTTTTCATTTACTTTGTTTCTACTGAGGTTAAACTTCTTTTCTTTTTTGTTTTCTACTTTGTTTTTTAAAAAAATTTAAGTTCGGGGGTACAGGTTCAGGTTTGTTACATAGGTAAAAATTTATTTTCCTGTGTTTAATTGACCACCTTTGTTCTTTACATTTTCTATTTGTATCATTTCCCATTTAAACAATGGGTTGCCTTTCTTATTGATTTGTAGGGGTTCTCTCCATATAATGGGTACTGATTGTTTGCTATATATACTGTTTATATCTCTTAGTCTATTATGTCATTTAATTTTGTTTGCAATGTATTTTGTCAAAGGTTAAATTTGTATAGTCAAAGCTGTTCATCTATTCTTTTGTCTTTTGGTATTATGTCTTGCCTATATTTTCTTCTAATACTTGTACAGCTTTGAAATGTTCAGTTCTATAATTCATCTGTAATTTACTTTTATGTATGGTATGATATAAGAATCTAAATTTTTAGCTCAAATTAAGAGCCAACTGCCCCAACAGCATCTACTGACTTTTCTATTGACTTTGCTCTTTCTAATTTATTAAGTGCCCACATAAATGTGGGTTTATTTCTGGATATGCTATTTTATTTTGTATTTATTTATTTATTTATTTATTTGTTTATCCTTGTGTCAATTCCATGACATTTTAATTATTATGTTTTTATATATTTGGTAGAGAAAATTTGGTAGAGAAAATTCTCCTTCAGTGTGCTTTTTCCACTGAAATTTTTGAATCCACTGCAAATAAAACTATAAATTACTATCATGTGAGACTTTGATCTTTATTAAAGCATGAATCATTGATTACATTTTAAGTATTGTCTAGGCTTAATAGTTTATTTAAAATGTTTTCTTAAGTTAATTTTGATAATTCATTCATCCTAGAAAACCATCCACTGACAACACTTTTAATAGTAGAAAGTCGAATACGGTTTTCCCTTGTAAATGTTTCATACCCTAATGCTGTTTATTTCCGGCTCCTGATTTCTTTGTATACCACCTTTTCTTGGATTTCAAACATATCTTCCTCTTTCTCAAATTCAGTTTTTATTTTTGGAAGCATATCCTTGACTAATTACTTCAGAGGAGACCTGTGGAATGCAAAATTTCTTAGTTTTTTCATGATCAAAAATACATTTTCTTCTTTTGCTCTCTCTCTCTCTCCCTTGGTGGTCACACTTAGATTCTAATTGGCTGGATATATAAATTCATTTTCAAACTAAGTTTTTCTAATAACTAGTATGACATTGTTCTCTTCTCTTTTATCTATACTTAGGGATGCACCAAATTTTTTTAAACTTTGATTAAATATGGTTCAATACAATTTGATTCTATACTATTATTTAATATATAGTCTATATTTAAATTTCCCCAATGGTTTCAATAAAATACTTTATCATTTCTTTTAAAATGAGGGATCCATTTAAGGATTATGCACTACATTTACTCTTTTTTTTTTGAGACAGGGTCTCACTGTGTCTCCCAGGCTTAAGTGCAGTGATGATGATAGCTGACTCTAGCCTTGAACTCCTTGAGATTTCACCTTGCTTGCAAATTAGGCTATTGTAGTTTCATGGTTGCTGGAAGAAGATACGAGATTTCTGGGTCAGATACAAAGGTTTTTTATTACTCACAGAACAGCAATAGCCAGACGATCAGCATTTGTGCTGGTTTTTTGAGTCCTAATTCACACAGTGAGGTGCAAAAGGGCAAAACAGTACCTGCACACACACTGGGCTGTGTG